AGTTTACAGAATGCTTTCACAAACATCATCACATTTAATGGCAATAATTCTTTTTTTTTTTCCTTTTTATCTTTTTTTTACTGACCAGTAACGGGATCGCAACCCTCGGTGTTGCGCCCACACTGCGCTCAACCAGTGAGCGGGAACTGGTCTCCACATGGGATCCGAACCCTTGGCGGCAGCGCACTCTCCAGTGCACCACCGGGCCGGCCCAAATGGCAATAATTCTTGGAGGCAGGCATTACTATTCCCATTTAGCTGAGAGAGCCAAAGTTCAGAAAGGTTATGAGAACAACTTGCCCAGGAATCACACATTAGCTAGGAATATGAACTAGGATTAGAATTCTAGCTAGAGCTTTTCCACCCAGGCACATACCACTGACTAATGTACATATATTTTAACTTACAAATGTTTGAAGCTTTAAGAAACGCTTTGTTTTTGCTTTTCCATGTGCTTCTCAATAGACCCACAGATTTGACCTCAGTCCTTAATTTCTTGCCTTGATGGGAAACCTAGAAACTTCCCATCGACTAAGGTAGGCATCTCAGCCAAGGTCTGACCTCCAGAACAACCAGTTCTGCTCTACTGCGCCATGTCTTAGTGACTTTATCAAATTGGGCTTAAGCCCCAACTATCTTCTGGAGATACTGCTGCCCTGAACACAAGGTGATATGGTTTCCACTTTCTCTAATTCATTTTCTATCCTGACTTACTATTCCAATAGTTGGGACTAAGTCCTAAGTTGGTTTCTATAGGAAAAATTATCCCTCACATACCAGGAGCCACAAAATAGACAGGGTCCGATCGTCGGGCTGAGCTAAACACGTCCCGATGGCGCTGCGACCATTGGAGCCTTGCGGGAGACCCATTTCTATGGACAGCCTTCCAGCCATCAACATCTAGAAGACAAATAAAATCACTCTGCATTTGAGACAAACTCTCAGCAACTGAGTTAAACAAGGCAAGACCTGCTCGGCTGAAAAGTCCCAGTGGTGAGTAGCAAGTGGGGTTTTCTTAATATTTGCACATTTGTATACAGACGTTAAAATTCCCATGTACCTCTCCACTTGGGTCTGAACTTCACCTGCTCCCACCTCACAGCTGCTCTGACTTCTCTTCTTACAGTTTGACTCTTGTGATAAGAGAGCACTTTTTCATCTGCCTGCAATTTGCATTCTTGCAATATTTACATAAGTAGGGTCTGGCCTTAAAGAGGTGAGAGGGTTATAATCAAAGAGAAACTCACAGTTGCAATAATATCAATTCCTAATATTTTTTACAGTGCTCTGTAGCTTGGTAACTAATTTCACATAAATTAACTCATTTAACATATGTGAAAGCAGTATTATTAGTGAATGTGAATTCCAGGAAGACTCTCATAAATTCCCCAATCCAAATGGATAATTCTTTTGTGGTTTTGAAACAGATGGTGACAGGAAATGCAGGAAGATAAAAATCTAGTTGCTTTGTAGTTATTCTTTCAAGTTATACACTGGTATGAATGAATCATTTAGCTACAACTTTTTCAAGACATCATGGTATGTTTTATTGCCCTGACAAAATAATGCAAACTAAAAACTATAAGAGAAGGGCCAAAGACCACTCAAGAATCCATCTCATGGAGGTGGTTGTCTAAGCACAAAGCCCTGTACAACATTAAAAATCAAAAACCTAGAAAATGGAACACTTTACCTTGATGGAAGGTAGAGGTGATCTTGTGGACACTATAGTCTGCAGAGCTGTGGCAGCTGGCTGAATGCCCATAGCAGAAACACTGGGTGCACCCCTCAGGGTTCCCCCCTTCCAGATGATAGTAACCTGGCCGACACCTGCAGTGGCATTTGAGAAATCAGGATGATGTTATAGATTATTTCTTATTTCGTATAGAGACTATGCAACTGATTCTGCCCCTTTGTACTTTCTTGCCCACTTGATCCTATTAATTCCCAGAGGAGGGAAATACCAAGGTTCACATATCTCCTCCACTCCCAGAACACCTGATGGACAAGCACAGCCTCCAAATGAGACAGCAGGGGGAACATTCACTTTCTCTCTTTCCGGTACAGCAGAATCCTGTCTGCGTTGGTGGTCTGGAAACTTAGTGATTGACTTATGCTTGGTGACGAATTGAGTGAAGGTTAGATGGCAGGACAGGGAGGGGTGGGGCAGGGGTCTGCAGAACTGCCTTGTCCTGGAGCAAGTGTTTAATGGGACAAAAGAGTGGGAGGGGGGGACCAGGAAAGGAGAGGTAAATGCTCCCACCTTGGCACCCACTCAGCTCTACTGACCCCTCCTCAAGGCCACTAGGTGTTGATCACCATCCCTGCCCCTAGTACCCAGCCTCAGGCCCATGAGGGGAAAGGGCAGGTGAGGATATGACAAAGAAAAAGATGACTAGAGACACTCTACAAAAGCAAAGCGTAGGCTTGCATTCCACCTCTGCTCCTAGCTCAAGTCCTCCGGTGGCTTCTCTGAGGACCATGACTGCCAGGCATGTCTTAGATGTTGGGGCTGCAGAGAAGGCAAGGGAAGCTGGGGAGGACTTTTTTTTGCATTCCACCTCTGCTCCTAGCTCAAGTCCTCCGGTGGCTTCTCTGAGGACCATGACTGCCAAGCATGTCTTAGATGTTGGGGCTGCAGAGAAGGCAAGGGAAGCTGGGGAGGACTTTTTTTCCCCTCCATTCAAGTTATGTACATTCTTCCACATGAAACAACAACAGCTTCAATGATCACTTATTTAGCACTTGTGCCAGGCACCCTATATATACTCTCTCATTTAATCCTCTCTAAGGTCTATGAGAACTGTTATTTCCATCCACATATTGGGGGGTATGTTAATTGTACAAGATCACAGAAAAGCAAGTTTGCTGTGAACAGTAGATGCTTCAGAGAATAGCTGTAAATAAGCAAACACTGGTTTTTCTCTAAGACAAGGGTTAAAAAAATTATTATGGTTTCTATGGAGAGGAAGCCTATAGATTAAAAGAGATTTAAAAGCAAGGAAGTAAGGAAGTGATGTCCTACATGTTCAATGGAGTTTGGATGTATTGTCCTCCCAGAACTCATGGAAATTTGATCCCTAGGAGGATCCCTCATGAATGAATTAATGCTCTCCCTAGGTGGGGGGATTAATGAGTGAGTTCTCGCTCTATTAGTTCCCACGAGAGCTGGTTGTTTAAAAGATCCTGGCACTTCCTCTCTCTCTCTCTCTCTCTCTCTCACTTCCTCTTGCCATGTGATCTGCTTGTACCTGC